GGGATATTGTTACTTTTACTTTTATATTTCGGATACTTTTGCCTACACTCATTTTTACCCCTTAATTTTCACTGACTGTACTTTTTACCTCAAAAGTGACTCTAATTACTTTAATTAGACCTTTTACTTATTTCAACTCACTAATACATGCTAATTTACTTAATTATATGTAATTTACTATTTAATTAGGTTAGAAATATTATAACTGTTGTTAGTTGCTACTATATTATTTCATTATGAAATAAGTTACAGGTGAATGGTTAATATGTTGGCAATATTTATTTCGTAAAAGGTTAAGATAACGTAAAAACTTAAAATGGAACCTTAAATATTTCAATTCTTGTAAAAGAAAAAATATTTGTCATTTTAAAAAAGTTTCATTTTTTATGCAGTTAATGTAGATAAGTTATCTACATTGAGCCCAAAATGACGTTGTTTTGTAGCAGAAATTAAGGTAACTTTGTAATTATAATTTGTTTCAGGGCTATAATAGTCTTTCTCATTATAGTTTTTTAATTTTTCAACCCAAAACGAATTTGTTTTGGGACTAAACGTAGATAATTTATCTAAATTCATTGTAGAAATATTAGTCTTAAAAAAATATAATTTTAACTGAAACGACTGTATTTTATTATAAATTTGATGGTTGTTTATATAGAAAATGTGTTTACTGTTCTAAAGGATAGGAATTCGTGTCATTTTAAGTAAAACTATTGTATTTTAGTAATTTTTATTCTCTTTTCTTCATAATACTCTCACTTTCTCTCTCCTCTTAATTTTATGAAAAAGAGAATAAAAAAACTTTAAATATGTATCAAAATATTTTAATTTTACTTTAAAATGACACAAACTTATATACTTAAAATGACAAATATTTTTTTTTTTTATATTTTCTCTCCTTCATAAAATTAAAAGAAGAGAGAAAGAGAAAGTATTGTAGTTGTAGAGAAGAGAGAAGATAAAAAATCAACAAAAAATATTTAAAATGACAAATATTTTTTTTCTTCTTGCCATTGACATCACACATATTCCAACCGAAAAAAAGAGTTTTGTTGTTGTTGAAAATAAATAAATAAAAATATAATTTATTTATAATATTCTGTCAATGTAACATTTTTTTTACGCATACATTAATAATTATATTTTATATAATTATTAATATCGTTAAACTTATTAAATAAGATCTCAACACAAACTTGAATAATAATATGACATTAGCATAGGATACCAAAACAAAATAAAATATGACATTAGCATAGCATTAGAATTAAACTCAAAATCATGCAACCGAATCACCCCATGTTGAAGTCAAATATGGAAATGACGAATGTATATGGGAAACGAGAATAAAAGCATACTCTATTTGCATCATATTGCAACCTTAAAGTGAGCATACTCAATTAATATAAGCAATTTAATAGTAATATTAATAATAATGCGAATTTCATCATTCCACTAAAAAATAACTTGGATAATTTATTTCTAAAAGATTTTTACAGTATAATATTATTGATTGCAAAATCTTAGGGCCTGTTTGATTGTGTTCTGGTTTTTTTTGTTCTTAAAACTGTTTTGTAAAATAGTTATGGAAACAGTTATTTTCTATATTTTTTTTCTTTTTGAAAGTTAAAAACCAAAACAGAAAACAAAAACAACTCAGATATGTTCTCTAAATTTGATTTAAAAAAAAAAAACAGAGTTATAGTTTTCAAAACATTTTTTACAAAACAGGTCTTACCAAACGAGTTTTTTAGTTTTTTTGTTTTGTTTTGAAAATTAAAAAACTGTTTTGCAGTATTGAAACAGAGCCTTAAACTCATATTTAGAAAATAGATCAACCACTATCTTATGAATATACACCACAAAGTCCACAAGCATGACAAAACTCAAAAAACTTTCAAAGAAAAAGTAATATGTCTAATTTGTTTTTGTTTTTTTAAGCACAAGCATATTCAATCTTATTGCAAAACCTCAATATTAACTACATAACCTCTGCCTCACAATTACGTTTAAGGGTGAATATAACTAGCGCAATCTAAATCAATTATAGTTATATAGTTAGGGGCAGGTTATATTTACAAACTTTTTTGTTTACAAACTCTTACAAACTACACTATCTTCTCTCGGAAAAACACTAATCACACTATCTTCTTTCAAGAGAACATATTGCGATTTGTATAAATTTGTAAAAAAATTTTGTTAACGGATCCTTCCCCGTTATGTATGCAAATGTAATTGTAACTTTAAATTGTTCTCCATGCTACTTGTCATTCAGAATAAGGAAGTATAAATTTCCTTTAATCACATGTGCTCTAAGAAGGTGTGTTAAACTTCTTCTTCGTTATTTCTTTATCAGATTATTGATTACTCTAATTGGGTAGGATTACAAGGAGATAAAGTTTTCTCTTTTTAACCACACACAGAAAAAAAAAACTCTATTAAGTTTTTATTATAAATATATACTCAAGACTCGAATTCAAAATCAATAAGGCGGAACAACCCATTCCAATTTATCCGTTTGTTTAGTAATAATTTTATTTTTAGACACATGCAATAAATCCAACAGTCCATTTATAAGTAGCATTCTTAATTGGAGTTTTCTCACTAATAATTAGTGCAAACAAAGAGACTATGTATTGAAAGAAGTCAGTCAAAAATGAAGGATTTGGGTTCACATGCATGTTTGTCTAGTGTGTCACTCTCTCCAAATACTTCCAACTGAGTCAATTAAGCCAATGATATATTAGTATAATTTTGTGACAAATTGTTAAAAACAAAATATAAACAATAAAAGTTGTTGAAAATCTCTACAAGTGTGCACATAAACAGTCAGTTTTTGATGTTGATTTAAATTTCAAGTTGCCCTTGAAATGTTAAAAATTGTAAGACCAAGCATGGCGAGGAAGAAAGTTGTCGTGCCTGTGTGAGACAAGATTAAGTTGATTTTGTTGGCTTAAAAATTAGTGTAATCTTTGTATTTACTATTTGTTTTGATGTTGTTCCTATGACATTAACAAGAATAATTGAGTTCCTGTACTTTTATAATCTTCTCATGTTTCCATCAATCTTTTCGAATTAAAGGTATTGTTTGGTAGGAGACAGTGGCTAATCTTTTTCTTACTAAGGAAACATGCAAGTTAATTCTCATCTTTATTGATTCCAAATAAGTGGAAGTGCTGTAGGGTTTTGAATGAATGATAGTTAATGACTTAAAGCGTGTTTAATGAAACTTCTATTTTACTTTTTACTGTATTTTGAGGAGAAAAGAGAAAAGAATAGAAGAAATCTTTCAAAAGGAAAGGCAATTACGTAACGTCAAATGATGGTCCTTCTCATTTTCTATAACAAGTAAGGAAATAAATGAAGAGAAAAAGAAAGGAAAGTGTGTTGAACATTGCTGAAAGCATAAATTGTTGAGATACATGTATAATATAATGGGAAAAAAGTTTGTAATTTTAAAAGATATAATTTTATGTCATTTTATATTTTAACCGTTGATTTTTATCAAAAATCAACGATTATAATTTATTAGGTCAAAATTTATTAATTAATTAGTAATTCGCAATAAATTATAATCATTAATTGACAAGAATCAACGATTAAAAGGATAAATATTTTTTCCATAATATAGAAGGTTTAATGTCTCCTATATTCCAGGAGATCAAATAATTTCCTATATACATATAAAAATATGGAGCCCATTTTTTTTTTCTTTTCTTCACATAATTTTATCTCTTTGAAACATCAAACCCCAATATAAATTACTAAAAAAGCATTTCAGTAAATTCAAAGTTCTATTCAATTATTTATAAGAAAGTAGGTAAGGAGTTTTAGGGGGTGTTTGATAGAGAGTTATATATATATATATATAGGAAAGTGAGAGTTCAACAAGATTATATTTGGTATCACATTTCAAAAAATTTATTCGGAAAAATTATTTATATGAGAATTTGTTTTGTGTGTAAATTATGAATAAAAAATTCATCCAAGAATAGCACCCAAGATTGCTGGGAAAATAGAAAAAAGTAAGGGGCCGTTTGGTATGCGGTATTTTGTAGGATTCCCGGAAAACTGAATTTTTTTAAATTTTAAATTTTCGGATATTATCGTAAACTGAATGTAAAAATCATATTTTTGAAATTTGAAATTCTCGGACAAATAAAAATTTCTCCTGTACCAAACGCCCCCTAAGTAAAAAAAATTGATAAGAATCAAGAAACTTATCTAATATCCCAATATTATTTTTTACTACCAAATAGCTTTTTGATAACATCTTCAGAAAATTCACTTTTCCATTATATTCTCAGGAATCATAACTTCGGTAAGGATTAAAAATTTCTCATCTACCAAACATCATTTAAAGTGTAAATTTTGTAAAAATAGCATTATTCATGAATTTCTAAAACTAATTTTGGTATGTTTTACGTTCTGATAGTACTTTATTTTTATTTTTCTATTTTAATTATAACTTTTAAAGGGATTGCTAAAGGAAAAGCTGTACAACACAAAATTTTAAGGTTTTTTTTTAATTACAATACACACGTCTAAGTATTTACTACCTCTTTTTGTTACTACTTGTTACTACTAAATCGTTGATTTTCGTTAATCTAATAATTATAATTTATTAAGTCATATTTATTAATTAATTATTAATTTCTAATAAATTATAATCATTAGATTGACGAAAATCAACGGTTACGATTTAGTAATAACAAGTAACAACAAAAAAAGTAGTAACTATACCTCTCTGTTTAAATATACTATTAGTTTAATAAATATGTTTTAGAATTTAATTTTTAGGTAGTGTCCTTTATTTTTTTTTAAAATAATATTATTAATCCTTACTATTTTCATAAATTCGTCAAATATTAATTTATCAAATGTATTTTCACTTCAACATTTATATAATAAAAATTAGAGATAGGATATTGTAGCACACCACGTATTAACCGTTGATTTCGATTTCCGACGATGAATGGTTATCATAAAAATTGTTTAATTGACCACTCTCATTGACATTTTAGTTCTACCCTTCCTCTAATTTCTTCTCGTGGATTTGAAGATAATAAATTAGGGCACACAATTTTGGCGTTCATTCAATTGGCATCATCTTTGATCCAGATAGGGTAAGGTTCTTTACCAGCTTCAACTTTCTATTATCTCACTTCATTTTCGTTTTTTCTTCTTCTATTCTAATTTCATGTACTAGATTCCAAACTTCTCTTCCAAAAAGGAACGAACTTTGCATTCAATTTGTTTTGGGTCGATTCAATTTTTTTTTTCTTTTTTCTTAATGCGGTGTTGTTACTCACTATATTGTCTTCAATTCATCATCAAGCATCATGTTCAATCATATAAAGCTGTGTTCTTTTTCTTAATATATATAATTTAGGAATAACAATTCATGTGAAGTAATTAATACATTTGATATTGTCAGGGGTTAGTTCATAGAACAATGGAGTTGAGACCATTCATCTTGCAACCCAACTTGACACACTTGTTTCCAACATTCACATGCTGTGTCAAACCTTCTTTCCAGCATTCAAAGCAAAAGGAATTTTCATTGAAAATCAGTAGAAGAAGGTTGGGGTTTTTGGCAGCCATGGCCTCCTTGATTTTGGGTGAAGATGGCATTTTTAGGACACAAAGTGCAAATGCATTTGACTTTGGATTTGTGGCTCCTGGTCAAACAGTTGAAGAGGCCCAGAGTGGAGTTAGGGTTCATGCACAAGATTTGTTACAAGTTAGGGATTTGCTAGAGTCAGAGTCTTGGAAAGCTGCACAAAAGGCATTGAGAATGAGAGCAGCACTCCTGAAGAAGGATATGTATACCATAATCCAAAGCAAACCTGGAATTGAGAGGCCCCAACTAAGGAAGCTCTATTTTACTATCTTCAACAATGTTTCTAGAGTAAGAACCCTTTTGTCTGAGCTTTTAGAAAAAGTAGATTTTATCTTTTCCTTAATTACTTATTTTAGAAGTGTTTTGTACTAAAATTGAAGTTATTTATATTTTTATAAAAATATTTGACTTTTAACTTCTATTTTTTTTAGAAGTTAAAATTTTTAGTTTATAAAAAAGTAGATTTTTGACTTTTTGATGACTTCTGCTTTTTTTAAAAAGTACATGTCCAAACGAACTTAAAGTGATAAATACTTTTTTTTTCTTGAAAAAAAGCAGCTTTTGAGAAGAAAAAAAAGCCGATCCAAATATACTAGTACTTAGCATGTCCATCTTCATGCATCAGGAAAGTGGAAGGTGCATTTTTAATCTCCTAGTCTTAAATGACACATATTCTGTCATTATCTAGTCTCCAATTTTTCTAAATTCTAGAGTGGTTTGACTTTGACCCCATTCATATAGCTCCATCAATTATTAAATGCACGGTGGCTTTTAGATATCTATCAAGTTCGATATTATATAGATGGATAGAAGAAGTTAATTTTATTATGACTAGAAAGTACAAGGTTACAGAGGATATACAATCACAGGGATTACCCGTGTGATGCTCTTCATTTTGTTACGTCAAATTGATAATTGTACTTACAGAGAAATGATCTACTATCAATTACTTGTTGCTTATTGATTGGGGAAACTGATTTTGGCATGGACAGCTATCGATTTTATGAGTAGAACAATGGCAAATTCTTACTTAGAAACTATTTGATAAACTGAGACTTGATCTTCAAGTTGAATTTCTGGTTTTGCCTTGAAATCCTGACAGACAACTTTGCCATTAAGAGTTTATTTTTGTTGTAGTAATTGGTTATCAATTGACAGTTATTCGTGTATGGTGAAAAATGATGCAGTTAGATTATGCAGCAAGGGATAAAGATGAACCACAAGTCTGGCAGTGTTACGAGAACATTGTTGTGGCTGTCAATGACATTCTATCCAGAATATAGTGATTCATAGCTTTTTGATAATGGGAGGCGGAGCAGTTCTTGATCTTCTTGATCAGTTTATGTCAGTAGCTACCCAATTATGCTTGTTGCACGAAGTGAAGGAGTCAATGATATGGACTCAAAACTAGTTGAACAAAAAAAGGATCCTGTTATATAGATCATGAGTTTGGTCATGGAGAATTAGCTAAAGAATGTTGAAAGTTTGACTATATGTGATAACAAAATGATGATGCTCAGCCTCATGTCTTCAAGAGCTAAAGAAAAATACAAATGGAGGCATGTCAATTTTGGTAGAGAAATCTAAGCCAACTTTTGAACTCTTCAATCTCCAATTACGAGAATAAATTCTGAGGAGGTGATGGCTTTAGTAATTAAGAGAAAGGTTTGTGGTCTGTTTAGCTCTCCCTATAAGGTCTTAATTCACATATGTATTGTTTGCTAATTATTTATGTTTGTAGACTTCTCAATTGTGCCTATTTGACTTCAAATAGATTATGAAAATATTTGATTACTAAACATCAAAGAATTGAAAGTTGAGCTGGAAAAAGTAGATTGAAAAAAGAGAGAAGGAAATCAAGGATTTTCAACTTTCAATGATAATAGGAAGACTGAGATGTTAGGAAAAAAGTAAAGTTGACTACAAAGGAAAATAAAGATTGGGATATGATACCTAGGAGAATATATATGTTAACTTTTCCCTCGTTTTGCTCAGGAGGAATTTCTTCCTTTTATAAAAGTCTTCTGTTCTTGGGGGCAGAACTTGAACCCGAATGCTTGGGCCTCTCTTTACAGAACAGTTGTAGAGAATAAAAAATGTGAGGAGTATTAAAAGAACTAATGATAGTAAAAACCAAATATAATAGAATTTGATCTTAGCCTGGTTATTTGCTTATTAATAAAAATGAAATTTATAAGTCACGATTGGTTTAGTGTTAAGAGGTTTAGATAGTTTGTATGAGGTAATATGTTCAAACCTTAGTGCTATCATTGTATAATACATATATATAAAAGTAAATTCATGTAATTTTTTAGCTTACCAAAAAAAAAAAAAAAATTTCATGTAAATTACACTATATATTACTGTCATTTAATGAAATTAATAACACGAGTTTTTAAATTCATTAAATAATGCTTTTGCTTGATAATTTGTAAAACTCATTGAATATTTTTACCAAACGTTTTCACATTGACAACAATTAAATTAAAAAAAAAAATCATTTTATAATCTTCCTATAGTTTAGTTATCACCAATTAAGAAAATTGCTATATGATAATTTCACTTTTATAATATTGTTTGAGAGTATTACCAAATTAATTGTCGCTATTTCACATTAACAGTAAATGTGATTAATGATGATTGTCAATTCTTAATTTCCAATGCGAATGCTATGTAAATATCATTCAACCTAAGTCATCTAAACCCAAGATTTTCCCATCCATGGTGGGCCTTATTTTTCGAAGCTTATTAAGCAAACTGTATTCATTGTTGCTTTTGGAATTGAGACCATTGAATTATTAACATGAGAAACCAAACCAGTATCATCCCAATAAGTACTAATTCAGGCACACGGAGTGCATAGTTTAATTGAAAGCATCATATTTTGCATATAGATAATATGGCTTTAATGTGAAATGTCGCACAGAATATCAGAGAATTGATGAGACATGTACCCAAGAGCAACCACTGCTCCTTGTTGTACTTGAGATTTCAAAAAAGATTCGAATTCAACCTTTGTGGAGAACAGAGATGCTGAGGTTTAAATTGACTTTTCCCATATCAATTTATATTTTATCCTTCAATTGTGTTGAAATTCTAAGGTTTTAGTCAAGGAGGTGAAAAGATAGAAAGTACAATAGAGATTAAATATTAAGTGTTATGAGGTAATTCATGTGATTAAAAAAAAAAAACACTAAACATTATTTGTATTAAATAGGGACTTATAAAATAAAGAAACAAATCATGACTTATAAAGGAACAGAGAAACAAATCTTTTAAGATATCATCTACGATACTACAAATTATATTAAAATACGAGGAAGGTTATATTTACAACATATTTTCGTTTATAACTTCTTACGATTATTTCTTAACCATTGATTTTCGCCAATCAACGATTATTATTTTCGCAAATCAAACTCATTAATTAATTATTAATTCATAATGAATGATAATCGTTGATTGACGAAAATCAACGGTTAAGATATAATTGTAAGAGGTTGTAAACGAAAATAGATTGTAAATCTTAAAATATAATCTTAATAGAATTTCAAATATTCTGACATATTACATATACATTAAACTCCTCTGTCTTGAATATCTTGGTCCTCCACAAAATTCGTCTTCTTTGTCGTCTATTTTCTATATTATCAAGGAAATGACTATTTCACAAATATGACAAGAGATTGCATGAACCATGCATGGGTGAAAAAAATCCTCAGTATCTAATGACTCGTTTTTTGTGAGACGCTTAAAGTATAGTGATTATAGTATATGAGTCATTGTTTTAGACAACAAAATTTTATATCAAGTAACGTCATACATTTAGTTAAAAACAATAATTTATACATTTCATACATTCATATGATTTTCTGTAGATTTTTAAACATAATCTATCCTCTCAGGGATCGAGAAGTGGGAATTTGAAGACGGCCTTTCAACAACTTCCTAAAAAACCTTCTGATATTAAAAGCTGTTATTGTTAAACTATAAAACCATACTATTATTATAGCCTTCAATTTACACCTTTTAGTCTCTCATCTTTTCTTCAAAGTTTCTAACACAACTTTGAGACTCATAAGAATATGAAGCAACTCAAGCTCTTAGCCTTAACATTGTTCATGTTGTGGTCATGGTGGAGCTTTCATGGTGCAATAGGAGACCCTCAAACACGTTTACTCAACAAGGGTTGTAGCCAATACAACGCAACAAACTTGTCAAACTTCTACCAAAATCTAAACTCAACTTTGGAAGAGTTGAGAACAAAGGTGAATAACCAAAGCAAGCACTTTGCCACAGCACAACAAGCCATGGGAACAGACCCTGTCTATGCTATGTTTCAATGCAGAAACTACCTCTCCAACACTGACTGCGCCGCCTGCTTCGCCACGGCTGCCGCCCAAATCCGCAACTGCTCCGCCGGAGCCAACGGTGCCCGTGTCATTTATGATGGTTGCTTCCTTAGGTACAATTCCACCTATCATTTGTTCCATTTTTTATTTCATATGCTTCATAAATAATATAATGGTTAGTTGGTTACACTGTCTATTTACACATTTGAGTTGACTATATTATTATTGGGTATCTCTGAATAGGTTTTAAAAAAATGTATTTTTATGATATAAATTTTTTAGAAAACTAAGGGTTTGTTTGAATTCTGTTTTCAAAAACAATTTTTTTTGTTTGGTGAATAGTTTTCAAAAACAATTTTTTAATTTTCAGAAAAAAAAAAAACTTATTTGATAAGGCCTATTTTGAAAAAATAATTAAAAAAATTAGAACTATTTTGTAGTTTTTAAAATCAAATTTAGAGAATAATATCTTAAGTTATTTTTGTGTTGTGTTTTGATTTTTAACTTAAAAAAAACCCACACAAAACACATATTCTATTAATTATTCAACAAACCAGTTTAAAGAAAAAAAAAAGAACACAATCAAACATGCCCTTAAAATTGTTGTTTTGAGTTTTCTTTTTATAAAAAGGTTATTTATTTATCAAAAAAATTTCTAATTTTTTTTTTCAATTGAAATATAATTTTGCTTAACATGTCATGTAGAATTAGTTTAATGATTTTCTTGTGTAAGGAGTGGGTTGAAGACTTTGATAATTTTTATGCATCAATACTATATAGCTGTGATGCTTTGTGGCTGCTTACTATATTTATTTTTTCTTTTTACGCCTCTTCATTGGTACAATTGTGTGTGCGGAGCATGCAAGTTGAGAAATTTGAATGTACTTCAAAGAATATTACTATGAGAAATGTTTTTCTCCTTTTACATCAGAGAAGATTTGATTCTTACATGTTGGGTATGGCTCATATTTCACATGATGATGTTGGCCCTAATTGTCGGGGTCAGCAGAAAGGCAACTGGGGTCCCGCTCCCAGGTGAGCGGGCGGGGGTCCTGGGGGCAGCGCCCCCAGGCCCGTAGAGGCTAGGTAATGTTTAGGCCTCTGTTTCTATTGTAATTTTCTTAGCAGTTTGGGCTTGGGCCCATGAATAACTGCTGTTAGGGTTTCTTGTAATCCTATTTATATTTGCCTTGTAAACCGAGAGACTTGTAACGAGTGGCGGTGAGGTGAATATAGTACAGACAAGCTGGACGTAGCCTATATTGGGTGAACCAGGGTAAATCATCGTGTCAATCTCTCTACTCTTATCTCTTTTTCTGTTTTCTGGATTCTGTGTGATTGTCGATTTCCAACATTACACATAGATTAAATTTAATGTCAATTTTTTGTTTTTATTTTTATTTTCTTTTCTAAGTGCTGGCCCCACATTTTTGTTTCAGCAGGAGACAATTCTTCTTTTACGTAAAAGGAGAAAAGCATTTCCCTATTACTATACTGTATAATAAAAACATAATGAAAATGTTTTGACATCATAATGTTGATGTATTGACTTTGATATTCCATACTTCGAAATGTGTTGAGGTATGAGAGCAGTGGCTTCTTTGACCAGACCACTATGCCTGGCAATAGTGTGATTTGTGGAAATCAGACTGCAGTTGGAGCCAATGCTTTTGACGCAGTTGCACAACAAGCACTAATGGATCTGCAAATAGCAACACCCAAAATTACAGGTTTCTTTGCAGCTACCAAGACACAAGTTGCTGGTGGTGCAATCTATGCCATTGCACAATGTGCTGAAAATGTCACAGAGAGTGGTTGTCTTGATTGCTTAACAGTTGGATACAACAACATACAAAGTTGTTTTCCCAATACAGATGGTAAAGCATTTGATGCTGGGTGTTTTATGAGATATTCAGAGACACCCTTCTTTGCTGATAACCAGACCATTGATATCACACCCTTCTTAAAAGGTATAATGAGAATAATTCCTCTACATTTATTTTGGTTGAATGATAGTATATTTAGGTAAAAATGGTCAAGTGGATGCTTGCTCTATGCACACTTGCACAGCAACATCTAGAATAGTTTATATGATTTGGAACTGGGATTAACTGCTTTCTTATCTTGCAGGAGGTTCAAGCAAGAATGGGGCCATTATTGTTGCTGTTGTTGGAGTTGTAGGTCTTATTGTGATTGTGATCCTCCTTGCACTATTTCTCTGGCTAAGAGGGTACAAGAAACCCAAGTGGGTTCCTAGAGGTGAGACAGTTTGGAAAGTTTTTGAATTTATGATTTCTTACCAAAGTCAAAATCCAAAAGCTCTTTTTTTTAAACTCTTATTGAAATGAAATTTGAGCTTTTAACCTAAAATTTTATGTAATCACCGAACAATTTTTAATTCTTTTTTTTTTTAAGTTCTTTTTTTTTTTTTTAACGTTAACTTAAAAGTAGCAGAGATGGGAGTAGCACATACGCAACATGAGCATAAGATGGGAGTAGCAGAGATGAGGATGTTAAGGTGGATGTGTGGGTACACAAGGATGGATAAGATAAGAAATGAAGATATTTGACGAAAGGTCGGAGTAGTACCGGTAGCCGAGAAGATGAGAGAACATAGATTGAGGTGGTTTGGGCACGTGATGAGAAGACCCATGGATGCTCCTGTAAGAACAGAATTT